ATAAATTTTATATATTCTTCTTTTGTTTTCTCTGATATATTATATGCTAGTATATTAGCAAGTAAACTATTATTCTGATTACAATTCTTCTTACTTAAAGCTTATATGCTCTCTTTAAAAAGTTTTCCTACTATATTGATTTCTTTTTCAATTTTTAGTTTGATTTTTTTTTATTCTTGCTTCTTTTTTTGTTCTTTTGTATTTCTTTTTTTGGCTAACCAAATTTTCTTTTTCTTGATTATTGTTTATCTAACTTATCTTTATGCTTATTTCTTTTTATAAGTTTTTAGTATTGTTTTGTATTTCTTTTTCAATTATCTCTTCAATTTCTGTTTTTCTTTTCTGTGATATTTTATATATTTCTTCTTGCTTTTGGTTTGCTTCTGTAGACTGTTATTGGATATTTTTTCCTTTGTCTTGCATATGTCTTGTTATAAACTCTTTTATTATAATATTTTTGTTTTATTTAATAATATTAATCTTCTTTTCTGGTTATTTCTCTTTTGTTTTTTTAATTATTTTTCTAGTTATATATAGCAAAGCAACTTCTAATATATTTTATTCTGTTAGTATAGTTATGATTTTTCTTTTTTGTCTAGTATCACAAAGATTTTACTAACTTGATTAAAAAATATACTTGTTGTATATACTATTTATTGTCTAATATGCTTTTTTAATGTATATTAATATTAGATTTTCTTTTCAGCTTTATGTACTATTCATATTTAGTCTAATTATTATTAATTTTTATTTGTTGTTTATTGTTCTGAAATTTTTTATGCTTTATGTCTATTACTATTTAAATTGAACTTGTTTGTATATCTTCCAATGTATATGTTTGTTTTATTTGTCTATTCAAATATTATTATGATTTACAGATTTGTATTTCCAAGTTACAGAAAATTTTTCAAATTTTGCTTTTCAAAATATTAACCAAGGTGTTTTCCTTTTTGTTTTCTTTACTAAGTTTTCCAATTTTTTTATTTTTCTTCTTATTATACTTTCTTTATAAGCTTTATCTTTTTTATTAAATCTGTAAAGTTAGTTTTAATAGTTGTTTTCTGATAAATTTCTAAAATGTTTTTCTATAATTTTATAGTTTAATTTGGTAAATGGCATGAATTAATTATATTTTATTGTTCATTTATAGTAATAATAGATTTTTCAAAGTATACAGATTGAGAGATTTTCTCCAGTTCATATAGTAATATTTAATAAATAAAAACAAATATTCTATAGTGTTAGATATAAAAAAAATAATGTTTATATCTATGTATTTTGATTTTTCTAATTTGTATTTTTTTTCTACATGTTTTTTTATAGTCATTAGACTATTGTCTACTAATGGTTGCTTTATAATAAATTTCTGAAGTCTTTGTTTTTTATTGAATATTAATACAGATTCATGCTTATGTAAAACTTTAATTATAGCTTCTTTAAAAACAGAATTATGAATAATCTGTGCATCTTTTACTAATCAGTTTTTTAAAGTTAGATATTTCTCTATTGGCAAATTAAAATAAATACAAATATTATTTAAGTTTATAGATTCAGTTTATAAATTATTGGTTGTTTTGAAAAAATATTTAAGATATTTAATAAAATAATTAACTTCATTGAAATTCAATTATTCTATTAATAAAATATCATGACCTATATATAATAGTATAATATAAATAAAATATGTCAATTGGTATTTCTTTAAATAAAAGAAAAAAAAACAATCTAAAAATCTATTAGCTTAAGCAATATAGAAGACAAGTTCTTTAAATTGTTTAACCATTTTCATAACACTTATCCAATAAGTTGCATTGTTTAAAATAAGTGTTAAAGATATTATTTTTGCAAGTTTTTTACAATTTTTATAAGTGTACATTATATATACAATTTTATGAATCTAGTTCATAAGAGTGGATAAAGAATCAATAAGATTATTAACAGCTAAATTAAGATGATATAATGTATATTTAACTAGTGAAAGATTTAAATTACTAGCTATTTTTTGATTGGTACTACAATTATCTTCTGAAAGAAAAAGAATATTCTTAACATTTTTATTATATACTTCTAGAACATCCTCAAAAAACTTAATGCATGCATCTGTATTTTGAGTAATATGATTCTTAAATGATAAAAATGTCAACAAGACTAAATTTCTAGATTTGTAAACAGTTTGATATATTTCAAATAACTCAACAAAATGAATGCTATTACTCATCTATTTATCAAACATGATTTCAATTTTTTCTAGTAAAATGTTTTTTATCCTTTCTTGTATAACATTTGCCAAACCATTAATATACTTGTCAACTATCAAAATGTTCAATTTCAAGAGACTAGTATGTACAATGAAGTTGGGATTCTCATGTATTAAGAAGTTATTGACATTTTATGATAAGATTAACCCAATTAAAAATATTGAGTACACTTGTGCTGTAGATAAATGTAATAGAGTTTGCTGTAGAGGTATTATTTTCAATTCACTGTTGGTAAAACAAATTAAATTGTTCATGTTTTGCTACTAAATGGTTCATTAAATTCATATAATCTAATCCTTTTTTGGGGGTTATCAGCTGTGACCCAAGAGAGCACAAATTATAATGGTACTTGTCATCGTCTGCAAGTTTAAAAAAGGCCTTTATGTAACACTTGTTTGAAACTTTTGCACTCATTGAAACAATTTAATAATAAAGATTTAGAGTACTATTTCGATATATGTGTCTTCGAAAAGAAATGTAAATTATGCTGGTTATTAAAAAGAGAGATCGATAGCTTTGATTTTTTATTCAATTATGTATGTTATTTTTTTTTTTTTAACTACAAATTTTTGACGTCAAAATCAATAAATATATGGTTTATTACACATTTTGTATACATTTTGCGAACTCAGGCAAAAATTGCAATTAATTGATTGAGATCAAATAATTGCAATCAATTGCCTCAACAATTAAATTTTCGGTACGCCTGATTGTAACTAATCAAATTTTAACTTTAACTCTATGTAATGTCGGCTAAATGAAACTTTCGGAGAAATGACTATCGTGGAGTTAACAGTACCGGGTATGAATAATAAATAAATTATGTAATATAACAGTTTTTTCAAAATGTTGGTATGATGAAAATTTAAATTAATACGTACGTACAAATTTTCCTTGGCAACATATTTATACGAAGTAACTATTCGTTAAAGCAATTTTTATTTAAATATGAAGTATGCAATGTCATACACGAAATTGATGTACAAAAAAAGTTGCTAAAATAATATTTTGTTAATGGATTATCGAGCAGCCATCAAGAATTATTTGTAAAATAATGAAAATAATGATAATTTATTATCTTGGCTATGAAATTCAATATATCAGATTCTGGGCCCTTCGGAACTATTAAATTCGCAGCCAGCTAACAAGTTATTGGCTGTGTCGCATACAATAAAGGTATTATCCGATGGTTTATGACAATTGTGCTTGTTAAATGATTCGAGTTTTTTGGTAGTGATTGCCAAATAGACGAAGTTATTTGGCAGCTAACGTAATCACCGCCGAATAATTTGTCAAGTATTATCATAGCGATAGTAAGTTGCTGGATAATTCCAAGTTTTTCTGCCAACGAGGATAGAATTGCAAAATTCAAGAAACAATACTTTTTTGAATAATGATCCTAATTAAAGGTATAAAGAAGTAAAAATTTTCGGATATACTATACTATACATTAAAAAAAAAAATATTTGTGATTCATAACCGGAAATTTTTAACGTTTGTGTAGTGTTACAGAAATTGGAAGGTCCCAGACCATGTCAGCCAAACTTTGAAGATCTAATGAAGCTTTATACATAAAAGTAAAAATATGTAGATAACTACGGATAAAAAACTATAAAAGGTGTGTTTTACAATTTTACTTTGAGCCTTTTTTTTTTTCTTTGATAGGGAAAAGGGCAGATTGAATTTACAATATTCATAGCGGAATAAATGTCAATATTTGGCTCATTCGCTCCGAAACTTGTTATTAAATGTTGTGTTTGCATTTCTTGTTTATTAAATACGCAAATTTCATTCAACAAAATAATTTCCTGTAATAGAAAAGCCAATGAGGTACATTTACATTCAAAATATATATTTGAAACTTTAATTTTCGGAGATACCCTATTTAGTACCACAATCGGAGGGCGGAGAATGATTATCAGTCACGCGACTTATTTTGTAACGAAAACAATCTTAAGTTTTAATTACATGGGTTATCCCTGAATAATCAGTTAAATTATTAGAAATATCGAGTGTTTACAAAAAGTACGTACGTACGTACGTAAATGGATCGAGTATGATAATAAAAATGTGTGAGATGACATACATATGCAGAGTTTTTTTTTAAAAAACAAATAGCGTTTAATTATTCATGAATGATAATTAATTGCTTGTTTAGTACGTATGAAGAATCAAAGATCAAAATTATATAAACAATTGGTAAGCGTTATCGTGTGATACGCCAAAACGGTTGCGATCATATGAGCTAATGCATATTTATTACGGGTTTTATTACGCGTTAATGCATTTAATCTCTAAACTTTTGTTTATTTTCTTTTTAATGGTTATGGAAATTTAAATTAACTCTTCTGTATTACGTGTCACTTACATCTACCTTTTCCAATATGGGTTTTTTTTTTAAAAAAAAATTCAATTTGATAGTTAGTCTTTTTTTTTTAATGATTTTACGGTGAATTCGACCCTTGCTCTAGATGTTGCTTGTTAAAACCAAATTAAATTTTATTCAATCCGATAAATATTACAAATAAATGCACTTTACATAAAAAGGAAATCACAATAAAAATTAGGAATTAACATATCGGTACGAATTTGTAATTATAAATGATCTACTATTTTGATGTGACAAAAACGTTGATGAAAAAAATGCGATAAAAATAAATATAAAATCAGCCCTTTATGTCTTTCTCATTAATTTCAAAATCTCATTATCAATTAAAGTTAGAATCAGAAGAATAATTTTCAATGAGTCAAAGTGATGACGTAGAAAACGATATAAATTGTCCTGAATGTGGTCGCATAAGACCCTCCGGCTGGTGTAATCCTTGCGAATTCCGGTGGATGTACTCAACATTCTCAAGAAGTGGAAATAAATATATCGACTTATTAATGTTGCAAACACAAAAAAATGCAACACGTACTTGCGATTATTTGGAATTCATAGAATTTAGCAATATCGAAGGATTCGAATATGTCGCTAAAGGTGGATTTGGTAGTGTATATGAAGGATACTGGATGGAGGGTCCCAGGTGGATATGGGACGAAGTTAGCGCAGCGTGGTGTCGCAACGGTCCGACTAGGGTTGCTCTTAAAAAACTTGATGATTCGCAAGAACCTTCCATGAACTTTTTTAAACAGGTATATATATATATATATATATATATATTTTTTTTGAATGTCTTGCATTATTATAATCACCCATTTATACATTCATCATCATTAATTCTGTTTTAATTTATTTTTAATTCATTTTCAATTCGTAGCTTGAAACATATCATCGTTGTCTACAAAGTGGTTCGATGGCAGACTGTTTTGGAATAACAAAGGATAAAACTGGATGCTTCATGTTCGTTATGCGATATTATGAAAACGGTAATCTTTATGATTACCTCGATAGTAACAAAGGAATAATTAGTTGGAGAGATATGGTTGATATGCTTTGGGGAATTGCTGGCGGTCTCGAAAGAATTCATTCAGAAGGTTTTTTTCATTCAAATTTACATGGAGGAAATCTTCTTATTGAAGATGATACAATATCTATCGATGCAAAAATTGCAGATGTTGGACTTAATGGACCAGCGCATCGATCCATCTCTTCAGATAAAATAATTGGTGTATTGCCATTTATCGATCCTCAAGTAATACTAGGAAATCAACAACCAAATCAAGCATCAGATATCTATAGCTTTGGAATAATTATGTGGATTTTGGCAACTGGACTTAGACCACATTTTAATAGAGCACATGATTTACAATTGTCATATGAAATTTGTTATGAGAATTTGCGGCCCGAAATAAATGAGGAACTTGGTTCTGAAATGCCTGAAGAATACTTTAATTTAATGAATAAATGTTGGGACCAATTACCAGAAAATAGACCAACAGCATATCAATTATTCGAAGAATTGGGAAATTGGATTCATGCAATTTGTGATGATCCTAACCCTTCAGAAATTTCAAATAATTTTGGCATAGCTGAAGAGAAAAGATGGAAAAAAATTAAAAGGGAAATCGAAAACAAAAAGTTGTCCAAAGATTTAATTCATGAAGATGCAATATATATTAGTCGAATCTTTGACTTTTCTAAGTTACAAAAATAACAAAAATTCATTAATTTAGATATTTGTCACTTGGCATATTCAATGTTTGTACTATTAAAACAAAAATAAGCTTATTATAATATTAAACTTGTTGAAAGATTATATGCATTTAGCATTAAAAAAAAAAAAAAAAAACGGAAAAGAAAAAAAGAAAGAAAAGAAAAAAGAAAAAGAAAGAAAAAAAAGCAAATCAAAAAAAGAAAAAAATATATAATTTACAAAAAGTCTTACCATTTTATCTCGTTAAGGTACTTTTTTTTGCAAGTTTGATTAAATTTACACATTTCGTTTTGTTATATCAGATTGTATATTAGATTTTCATTTTTTTTTATCTTAATGCAGCGGTAGATATTTATCAATCAAAAAAAAACAGAGTTCAAAGGATTACTTTAAATAAAACACTATTTAGACATAACACAATTGGATTAGAATTTAAAAATAATTTTGGCTATTTATTAAAGATTTGTATCAACCTTCCACGGTTTACACTGACTTTGATCATTGTTTTGATCCCAATCACCCAATCTCATTAAACCAAAATCTTCTCAAAAAAGCGTGAATTTACCAACTTATTAAAAGGCTCAATAATTATATCATATCATTCGTATGATCACAAGTGGATAATGGAACCAAAAAATATAATAAGCGGTCTAAGAATGTTTATTTACACTTTAAAGTATTTTTAAGAACGTCATCACAAACGTTATTTATAGCTCCAAAGGAGTAACTTAAAATTAATCTTCTATATTCTCATATTTCTCATATTCAATGAAGTTAGTTTAGAAACTATTTTATGGCAAAAATACCGTTCCTCATAGGAATAGTATTTTTGCGATTTTCTGAAATAAAAAGTTTCGTCTGAATTTTTAACTCATCAGATGGCTGAGATAACTTTTGAGGTAAGACAAGCTTGTTAGCGGTGTCTGGATGTTTTAGTAGTGAATGCTACTTTTACTCTGCTTTATATATTTGTATTTATTTTTTACCGATTCATATAAAATTTTTTTCGTTTCCTAGTACTTGTAATATTGTGAAATGACGCGTGAAAATTGTGTAGCTTGATTGGTTAATAATAACACACATCAAAAATAGCAAACTTGATGCTAAAACTAATTGATCGATTCATTAGTTTCGGCTTCAACTGATTTCAGTATAAACTGTGATATTTAATTAAAAGATTTTACTTATCCTCATTTCAATGAACCACCCAAACTATTTACGTGATCGGTGCTTTAAAATGTATTTTCAAGTGATTTCATTATGAAAATTTTTAATCTTAAATTATATGCTAGGTTCATCCGAACGGGTCATAGATAAATTCTGGTGACCCGTATTTTCCTATGTAGAAAATGAACTAATTCAGATCACGGAAATATTGAGAAACTTTAACACAATAATGATATGGGCTGTCATCAATAGAAATAAGGCAGATTAACGTGTTAGAAAAAATCGATATCTTCTTTTATACCTCATATCTCAATGATTAAATAGTCTAGATCTCAAGCTTATTAAATGTCGTGGCTGAAGCTTGAAACGACTGAAGTTTGAAATCAGGAATCTCGATTTAAAATATCAACTCCTCTTATGCTCTTTTATTATCAAAACTAAATCAAACCCTAATTTAATTATTAAAAAAAATGCACACCAAAAATTTCTACGAATGTCATTAAAATAATTAAAATTTCAAGCTTCAACCATAACATTAAATAATTAAACTACAAAATTCATCTAGATATGAGCTATAAAAGGTAAGATTTTTTTTTAAAATGTCAATCTATTGCCAAGATTTATTGATTGATAAGAGCACCATAAATTTTCTTGCAAACTAAATACATCAAACATGTTGGTCAAGCATTCAATCAACAATTTTAATAATCGAAAAATCATTCGGCTAATTTTTATCAATGTTTCGGGTCAAAAATCACAACCAGGATAATAGCTTTAGAATGAAAAAAAAACGCGTTTTTTACGCTGGATAATAAATTTTATATTGGTTTTTAATTATAAGAACAGGTCGGAGTCAGTAACACAAACGCCCTCTGTAAAGACATCAAAAAGTTTTCTTTGTGATTTTACTACGTATATGAGTGTCGACAAGAGAAAACCTCGAACCGGCAATTATAGTTTATTATTCAGAAATAATAAACTATAATTGCCGGTTCAAAGCTTTCACTTGCCGGCACTCATATGATTCATTAAATTCTGACTCCCGTTTAAACAAATTATAGTTACATGTAATGAATAATCAATCATGTGACAATTTGTCCAATCAGCAACTAGTTTACTTTGTCCAATCAAAACTTGGAAATTAAGTAAATACGCTGATCACACGCATCTTCCTCTTTATCACGGAAATGGCAGATATAGAATTTGAAATAGAGGATGAAACTGAGTCGCCTAATGTACCAGAAACAGCCAATGCACAGGAAACAATCTTTGCAAATAACATTACGATAGGGCAAGATAATGAACCTATTTTGACCAAAAAAGAACTATACGCATGGTAAAAAAACAAATTATTATGTAGATAGAGAAAGGCAGGTAGGGTTGTTAATGGGTTGGTACAATTCTTAACCCACTCCAGTAAATTAGACTTACCCCAGTATTTCACTCCGGGTTGCTCCAGGTTGTTCCAAATTTAAAGATAAAAGCTTAAACTCTAACTTGGGTTGGGTTCTACTCCGGAGTGCTCCGGAGCAAGGTACTCCATTAACAACCCTAAAGGCAGGTACTTTATAGAGTTCATAATATTTTATTAAGGTTCACAGGTTGTTCCGTCCAAATTGAAGTGTTACAAAAAGCTATTAAGAAACGACTAGAATTCCTTAGAGATTCTCCAAAAAAAAAAAAAACCATTAGTTAGAATACCAGCCTTTTTCTGTCTGTTACGACCACCTTATATAAAATTTTTTTTTTTTTAACTATAATATATTTATTTAGGTACCTTTATGCATTTGCCTGCGAAGTGTATTCAGTTGTATCATTATCAAGCTTCATACCATTGATCTTGGAACAATTTGCTTCTGAACAAGGTGTTCTCAACATTAATCATGAAATCGCTTGCAAAAACTCCACTGAACTTAGAACTTTTGAAGAAGTACGCTGTGTAGTCAACATTTTTGGGTTATGGGTTGATACAGCCTCGTTTAGCTTATACACATTTTCATTTAGTGTAATTCTACAAGCTATTACCGCAATATCTATCGGTGCAACAGCTGATCACGGTTCAATGCGTAAAACTTTATTAATAAGTTTTGCTTTGGTTGGAAGTGTATCTGCCATGTTATTTTTATTTGTCACTTCTTCTATGTTCTTACTTGTCGCGATAATTGCTATTATAGGGAATGTCTGTTTTGGTGCCTCATTTGTTTGTTTTAATGGGTTTTTACCAGTTTTGGCAAGAAATCATCAAGATGTAAGAATAATTTCTGACAAAGTAAAATTACATATAACTAAAAAATCAAAGTTATCAAATGATCAACAACTTTCTTATTTGGATGATGACAATATCAGTGATCAATCAACCACCAGACTTTTACATATTGATGATAATTCCGATATTGTATTATATAATCTTTTGAATGAACTAGCAAAAACTAAAGAAAAAATTTCAACTCATATATCTGCTCGTGGTTTTGCATCTGGTTATTTTGGTGGAATAATTCTTTTATGCATTTGTTTTATTATTGCTTTTAGTTTACATTCCTCTGCTTTTAGCCTTCAAATTGGTGTATTTTTATCTGGAACATGGTGGTTTTTATTTTCTTTACTTGTTGCTAAATGGTTACGACCAAGACCTGGTCCTCCTTTATTTTTGGTTGAGGGAATAAAAATAAGATGGTACGATTATGTTATATACTCTTGGAAACAATTATGGAAGACCATCTTGCAAGCAAGAAAGTTGAAAATGACTTTTAAATTCTTGATCGCTTGGTTTTTTATTTCTGATGGTAAACTTTGATTATAAACTAAAATCTGTTAACATATTAGATCATCATGATTATTTACCAATTTGATTAATATGTAGGATATACCACAATATCTTCGGTGGCGTTGTTATTTGCTAAAACAACTTTACAAGTTCCAGCCGTGGGTCTAATTGCTATTTCTTTAATAGTTCCACTAGCTGCTTTATTTGGAACTATAATGGTACCAAAATTTCAGTCATGTTTCAGACTAACAACAAAACAAACTGTTATATTATTAAATGTTTTATTATTATGTATTCCTATTTATGGTTGTTTGGGTTTTGTTTTACCATTTGGTGGTTTGAAATCTGGTACAGAACTATATTATTTAGCTATTTGGTTTGGAATAGTTATTGGTTCTATTCAAAGTTATTGTAGAACTTTATTTAGTGAATTGGTTCCTCAGGGTAGAGAAACTGAATTTTTTGCTTTGTATGCAGTTACTGATAAAGGTTCAAGTTGGTTGGGTCCAACTTTGGTTGCCATCATTACTGGTATGTCGAATTTATTTGATTTTTATGATTTTTACATATCATATCTAAACTTTAATTTTTTTTTTTCTATAGATATTACGCGAGAAATTCGATTTGGATTTGTATTATTATTTTTCCTTGTTTTATTTCCTATACCTATTCTTTTGTCTTTGAATGTTACTAAAGGAAAAGAAGATGCTGATAAGGCTTCTAATAAACATGTAATAATTATTTGATTAATTGACGATTGGAGTTATATATGAACTAGGTGTTGAAAAAAAAAACTAAATTGACAAAAAATAAGTTTTGAGAAAAAACTAAAATTTTATATTATAAAACCTATATTAAATCATAAGAAAATATAAACTTTAAATGGCTATACTACTACCTTTATTAAAGACGTACCAGTTCATATAATTAATATTAATAATAAAGCGGCGACGTTTTATGCTTTATGTGAGCATTAGTCCTTAAGTTTAATATATATAATAATTATAATAAATAGAATGCGCTAATTTTAAATAGCATAGTTTTATATAAGTTAATATTAACACATGCAATCGAACAACTCATTGAGTCATAGAAAAAGTAATCACTGATAGGCCAGGTTTTTTCTTTGTTGTAAACGTGTACTTGTTACGCGTCATTCTTTAATTTATGTGTCATATTGTAGACTAGAAATCGGTTTGTAATTAACTTAGGCCTAAATGCTAAATACGTAAAACACATCTAAGTCTAGATTTTCAGTTTTGATCATTTGCATCATGAGTTGGTCCGTATCAGAGCACAAAATTGTATTGTAAAATGCCGGAAATTCCGGTTATGACTGACAAATTCGGAAAATTTCCGTTACTTATCACGTAATAAATTATATGGGTCAATTTCTACCATTATGAGTATTCGGAGAAAATTTCTTAAATTCGAATATCGATGTCCAATCAATTTTACTCTCTAAAATAAAAATAGAATTGTGCATATCCAGGGGTAGAGTTTACAATTTGCTATTCGATCAACCAACCAGAACTTGTTATACTTCCAGCCAATTTATTTAGAAGTGCATTCGAGTCGAAAAAAAAACTTATTCAAAGTTACATTAGAATCTCATTAAAGCAAGTCTGTTTAGAATTATTATTAAATTAGAACATAGATTATATTATTAGCATTAAATGTAAATGAATATGTAATTATTTGTACGTTCATCAATACTAATAAAATTATGTATATTTAAATTCGTTCTTTTTTTTTTCTTGTAATTTTAAGTGTTTACAATAGAAACTACTGATATTTTTGATATAGAACAAAATGATTTATACGACATTATGCCATCATTCACTGAATTAGGGATGGAAGAATATGATGAAGCAGATGACATAATCCATCAGCATGTTCAAGAATTGTGGGAATTTTGGCGAAAAAAAGAATGTACCTGTAGAAAAACAAAAAAAAAAAAATGAAATTTGCTTTGAAAAAATAGGATTTCATCGATTTTTTAGAAGACAAGAAGAATGTCATAAAATGTCATATAACAGCTTAGATAGCCGGATCAAAGGGCAACTTGTGGCATTTGCATTTAGTGAATCTCTAAAAATAAAAAAACTAGTCAAGAATCACGTAGTCATATTACATATCAGTATTATTATGATGCTCAACATACTGTGTGTATGTCTACATATGCAACTTTAACAAGAATTTCTTTGACTTGACTTCATTGAATTAAATCATCTATTAAAAATGAAGGAATTGTTGAAAATATTTATAGAAATATAGGATGTACCTTTATTCGATTTGATCATGCAATTGTAGATAAAGAAATTAAACAAGAAATTAATAATTTTATTCATAATTATGCTAATATTCATGGATTTTCTTCACTAGGCCAACATATATGACAAAATGCTATACCAATTATTTCACTTCCTATAGATACAACATATACTAATATCTATGAAGAATATATAAAATTTATTGAATTTTTTTTTTTAACCTTAAGCAGTCATGTTAGTACTTTATTAAGACTCTTGAAATTACATTTGCAATTACATAGATTTATCTAATAACTAAGTCTAGCATCACCCAGCCACCTAACAGGTACCTAAGTGCAACCTGCCACACTACTTCAAACAGAAGTAGACTATTTGTCTAACTACTTAAAGTCCATAATGAAAGGATCTTCTCCCTTCCACAACAAGCCTCAACATTGTTTTTCTAGTTTCTTTATTAATTCTATTCTTTTTCTCTTTTGCTCAGTTTCTTTCTTCTTCAATCTTTTGCTGATTTGCCTTTCCTTTCTTTTCTAAATTCTTCCTTTTTACTTTTTTCTTTTTCATTTTAGTTGTTATGCTTTCTTTTTTCTCTCATTCATTAATCTTTTCACATTGTATCCTTTAGACTTGTTTATAAAATGTGTCCCATGCTGTTTTTGCTACTGTCTCTATAAAGTGCTGTCTTGCCTTTGTACTTAGAAGCTGTGTTAGACTGTCTTGTGTCTTTTTTGGAATTAGGCCTTTGATTAGTGTTTCTCTCATTTCTATTTCTTTTGCTTCAACCTTTCCGAAAAGTGCTATATATAGTATATATGAAGAAATGCGTGTTTTTTCTTCTTCTTTCAACCCTTTCTAGACTGTTGCAATTGTCACCTTTTGAATTCGTTTTCAGAGACTTCGTTGTTCTTTGCATGATGCTAAATATGATTGTGTTTCTTTGACTTTGTCCTGGCATACTTGGCACTCTGTTGTTGTATATATATCTGGCCTTCTTTTATTAAGTTCCTTTAAGGTCAAGAGTTTATCTATTATGCACTTTATAAATATATATCTTCTTGTACTACATCTTCTTGTTATGCAATGCACTCTTTTAGTTCCTTTTAGCCTTTTTCATATTTGTGTTTAGTCATAAATTGTAATATTAGCTTTTGGTTCTAACTTCCTAATTGCATTAGTTTCTCTTCATTCTACTTCTAATCTTGCATTTGTTACCAACTTGTATAACAATCTTGTTGGTATGTCAGTTCGTCTGTTTTCCCACTCTAGGCAGTATTCTATTTCTTTACAACTGACTTTTTCTATTTGTACTACTTTTTTACTTATTGTTCCTTTCTTTGCAAGGCTATCAGCTTTGTCATTCCACTTGTTTCTGCTATGACTTTTAACTTTTACTAACTCTATCTGTATTCTCTTTGTTCTAATCAGATCTATAATCTTCATTATCCATATCGCATTCTTTTTTTTAAGAATTTTCATTCTATCTACTTGCTCTAAGCTTCTACTAATATTTATTGTAGCATTACTGTCTGTATATATTTCTAATTGGTTTTTTTTCGGTATTGTTAAGATTGCTGCCCAAATTGCTACTAGTTCAGCTATTGTTGATGTCATCCACTCTTCTAGTCCTAATGATGCTTCTTTCTCTGGTCATTCTTGCATTTTATTTGTTTGGATCCACCCTATACTTATGTTTTTGTCTTGTGTTTCTTCTCTGGATTTTAGGTTTGCAGCACCATCAGTATATATAGTATATCTGTTTTTGTTTTTTAGAAAGTTTCTCTTTAATATCTTTAGGATTTCTTGGTTAACATTCTCCTTTAATTTCTATTACTTAATTATCTTCACTTTTAACTCTTCTATCATCTTTAAACCTTCGAGTTTTTGTTCACTATCTTTTAGCTTTTCTGTTTTTACTTTTCCTATCAATTGGTTTATATCTATTTTAATCTTGTTATTATTCTTTTCTATCAATACATCAGGGATTACTCTCATTTTGTTGTTTATTCTTATCTATTGCTGGCAGCTTCCTTCTTTCTGTTCTTCTTTTTCCATGCAACTATCGCATTGGCTTATTTCTGTTGCCACTTCACTCTTCTTGCTTTGCATTTGCCAATGTTCTAATAAAACCTTTTTCTTTTTCTTCTTTACTATCTTTCCTAATTGTCTGCTGCCTTGTGCACTACATATTATCTATTCTTTCTTTCTTTTATCTTTTGACATAGTCTTTTATTCAATTTTCATTGCCTGGGTATTATGTTTGTTTGTCTTGAAATGTTCTTTAACTTCTCTACTTGTTGGCTCTTTAAGCACTTTGAACTTTATTTTCTTGAACCATTCTGCCTTTTTTCCTTTGCTTAACTGTTCATAATAGTTTTTGAACTGTTGCCATGTAATTAGCTTTTCACTTTTTGTGTCAAGTAGCTGATTTATATAAATTAGGTCTGTTTCACTTATTTCTATTTCACTTTTTTTTCACAACTGTGTTTTTAGCAGCTCTTGTAACTTGGTACTATATCCAAATATTCTCCATAAGCTATTTTCAGCTCTTATATTCATTCCTAGCTCTCTTGCTTTTATTATTGTTAGGCAGGCTAAGTTGTTTTTC